GGGGGTTGCAAGAGTCCAAATTACCTGATTTTTTACGTTACCTAAAAGCAGTTTTGAAATTAAGTGTGTTTTTTTCATGTGTACATTCAAGCAGTGAGTGTCCAGGAAATTTAAATCTCAAACTCATTAATAATTAATGACAACATTAGCCGAACATATTGCTTTATTTTGCTTACATGATAATACTGGATACCTAGTGAGGTGTATTTATCCAGTCCTAGGACTGGATCAAAATATTCACCTCAATGGACATCTTGCATGTTAGACTAAATTTTAATCTAAGCAGAGAAAAGGGAATCAAACACCACAGCTAAAAAGAACATACTGAAATTAGTAAAAGTGCAAAATTTGGTTGCGAAATGTTGTAAAGCTTGGAAAATATAGCCTTGCAAAGTTTGCATATTTTCAGTATATTTGTATTATGAGCGGAAATTGTTACCATTTTCGGCTCAAAAATGGTAACAATTTCCGCACGTAATACAAATATACTGAAAATATGCAAACTTTGCAAAGCTATATTTTCCAAGCTTTACAACATTTCGCAACCAAATTTTGCAAGTTTACTAATCTTAATACGTTCTTAACGGGAATTTACTTTTTTTTTGCCTAGATCGGCTAGATCAAAAATATGTCTAACATGCAAGTTGTCTATTTAAGTAGTGATTTATTCGTATAAGATGTCATTCAAATTCTTCAATTCGGACTGGACTAAATTTCAAGTCCTCGTATTTTGATCCAGTCCTCGATTCGCCTCTGACTTAATCAAATTGCGCGACTTGAAATCTAGTCCAGTCCTCATAGTCGGATTTGAAATATTACATCTAATTTGGCATTCTTAGTTTGCTTTCCCTTTTAGTTCATAACTGATAGAGCCAGGGACGCCGGAACTGGGGGGTAGGAGGGGAAGCCGCCCCCCTTGCCCTTTACCAGGAGGGGCAAGGGGGGCCAAGGTGCCCTTTCAATTTAAAGGATTGCCTTGGCGAAATAGCGAATTGTCAGAAATGTTAGTGCAATTCTTTTACGAATTTGCTTCAGAAAACGCAAGAAATGCAGTCATCGAGCTTCAAGAACAGCACAATCTCCTGGCGGAGAACCCCCTCACACCCCTATCATCCAATAAATATAGAAAACATGATTAAGCGAAGTTCAACTCCCGATGTTTTGCAAACATCCCTTAGTATATATCAATTTAAAAGTGCCCTTTCACGAAAATCTGCCCCCCTTGCCTTCACATCGTTCCGGCGTCCCTGGATAGAGCTATCCAGAATAAATACATTTTAGTTTAAGTTATATTTTCTCACGTCTACTGGATCAATAAGAGATAACATTTAGTGGACCCATAGGGAGAACAGTTTAGAACTGATAAAATCATTCGGTAGAAATAGAGTTGGTTTAGTATAGTTTATTCTACATATACTTACGTTGCGGTTAGCGACAGGCAAGTCTCTATCTCGTCTTCTCACAATAGATTTAATAGCTTGGGCATACGATGAGAGGAATGCGCGATACGTCCCGCGAAGACCGGCTTGTCTGGACTGTTTCCAACATTTATGATCTATACCGCTGATACCACCCATTTTTCCTGACATTGGTTCATTTAACGCAATAAGATAGAGCTATAGGAGAACAATACAAGAATATTGTACTGCACGGTATAAAGTACTACACGGCTACAAGTATAAAGTACTGCACGGCTCTATGGAGACAAGAAAATATTGTTGTTTCCTGACCATGTTTCCCGAAGGTGGCCAAACAAGGAAACATTACCTCCTAGCCATGTTTACTGAAGGTTCACGAATGTGGCTAAACCAGGAAACATTGTTTCCTAGCCATGTTTCCCAAAGGTGGTCAAACCAGGGAACATTGTTCCTAGCCATGTTTCTCGAAGGTGGGCAAACCAGGAAACATTGTTTGCTAGTCATGTTTCCCGAAGGCGAGCAAACCAGAAAACATTGTTTCAAACCATGTTTCCCAAAGGTGGCCAAACCAGCAAACATTACCTTAATCACGCTTCCTGAAGGTGAGCAAACCAGGAAACATTGTTCCTTTGCCATGTCTCCCAAGGTGGGCAAACCAGGAAACGTTACTTCCTAGCAATGTTTGTCGAAGGCAGGCAAACCAGGAAACATATTACTTCCTAGCTATGTTTCTCGAAGGCAGGCAAACCAGGAAACATTGTTTCCTAGCCATGTTTCCCGAAGGTGGGCAAACCTGGAAACATTGTTTCCTAGCCATGTTTCCTGAAGGTGGGCAAACCAGGAAGCATTGTTTCCTAACCATGTTTCCCAAAGGTGGGCAAACCAGGAAACATTACCTCCTAGCCATGTTTCCCAAAGGTTGGAAAACTAGGAAACATTACTTCCTAGCCATGTTTCTCGAAGGTGGGCAAACCAGGAAGCATTGTTTCCCAAAGGTGGGCAGACCAGGAAACATTGTTTCCTAGCCATGTTTCCCGAAGGTGGGAAAACCAGGAAATATTGTTTCCTAGCCATGTTTCCTGAAGGTGGGCAAACCAGGAAGCATTGTTTCCTAACCATGTTTCCCAAAGGTGGGCAAACCAGGAAACATTACCTATACTAGCCATGTTTCCCAAAGGTTGGAAAACTAGGAAACATTACTTCCTAGCCATGTTTCTCGAAGGTGGGCAAACCAGGAAGCATTGTTTCCCAAAGGTGGGCAGACCAGGAAACATTGTTTCCTAGCCATGTTTCCCGAAGGTGGGAAAACCAGGAAATATTGTTTCCTAGCCATGTTTCCTGAAGGTGGGCAAACCAGGAAGCATTGTTTCCTAACCATGTTTCCCAAAGGTGGGCAAACCAGGAAACATTACCTATACTAGCCATGTTTCCCAAAGGTTGGAAAACTAGGAAACATTACTTCCTAGCCATGTTTCTCGAAGGTGGGCAAACCAGGAAGCATTGTTTCCCAAAGGTGGGCAGACCAGGAAACATTGTTTCCTAGCCATGTTTCCCGAAGGTGGGAAAACCAGGAAATATTGTTTCCTAGCCATGTTTCCTGAAGGTGGGCAAACCAGGAAGCATTGTTTCCTAACCATGTTTCCCAAAGGTGGGCAAACCAGGAAACATTACCTATACTAGCCATGTTTCCCAAAGGTTGGAAAACTAGGAAACATTACTTCCTAGCCATGTTTCTCGAAGGTGGGCAAACCAGGAAGCATTGTTTCCCAAAGGTGGGCAGACCAGGAAACATTGTTTCCTAGCCATGTTTCCCAAAGGTGGGCAGACCAGGAAACGTTGTTTCCTTCCTAGCCATGTTTCCCAAAGGTGGACAAACCAGGAAACATTATTCCTTAGCCATGTTTCCCATGTTTGTCATTAAATCTTTTCGTGGGGCATAAGATTAATGTAGAACATGAAAACAAAGAATGTATAATACTTACATAAGGAGCCTTAGCAGCAACTCCAGCCTGAGGTAACTGGATATTTAAACTTTGTGGCGACTAAACAAAGAAAGTATACATTTACCAACATTACTAAATATAGTGATGGCGGTCAGTTTAAAAAATATTCAGTCG